AATTTAAAACAAATTTCGATATGTTACTAAATTAATGCTACATGAGACAATTCAAGAGAAACATTTTCTGCTCTGTGGGCAAGTGCTGTTTTGCTCTATCTGCTCCCTGGTGCAGAGGGATAATAAAACAGGAAAAGATTTGCTGTCATATCTTCAGAATAATTTGTAATTAGTGCTTTAAAATGGAAAAGTGAGAAGAAGATGTAGTATTAATTCTTTTATTTATAATCTATTCCATTTCTGCTTGCCTGAAGCATGATTAATTTGATAGGCATCTTTTAATTTGTAATTAGTCTTTAGGAAGGACTATTTTCTGATGCTTTAAGCAGTGGACTATTTATTAATTTGTGTTCTCTCATTTTATCCAGTGTTTATGCACTATGGACCAGATTCAGTATCCACTGAGAGGTAATTGTAAATTAGTTCAGCATTTAGCTCATTTGGCTTTCTTATATTTTTGAACACATAAAACAAGATAAATTATAATTTAGTTTACATCCTATCATCTCAACATGCCTTGCACATAATTCTTACAGGGAGGAAAACATCTCCAGGAGGTATTTTTGCTTTATTGATGTAAAAAGTAGTGGCAGGCCCATCTAGCTTTTGGCAGCAGAGAAGACATGGCTATGACCACATCACTGAAGCACTTTTGAGACTTTCTTGTCTTTGCTAATGAGTATGTGAAACTAAATTTTATTTCAGGTAACTCATAGCTGATACTGCCTCAAGCTGAAAACATGTCATGAAAATAGTTAACTTCTCATAGTATTTATGTTCTTCTTAGTCTACCTTAGCATCTTGGTATTAATTCTGTTGATTTATGTATCATCTAAACCCCTTGTGTAAAGTACTGTACTGTAAGAGGGACCTTACAGAAGCCTTAGAGTGCTTAAATAGGTCTTACAAGAGGGTTGGAGAGGGCCTTTTAACAAAGGCAATTAGTGACAGGACAAGGAGGAATGGCCTTAAACTGGATGGGAATAGGTTTAGATGAGATATTAGGAAGAAGGCCTACAAGGCCTACAAGGGTGGTGATACACTGAAACAGGTTATTCAGAGAAGTTGTGGACTCCTCATCCCTGGAGCTGCTCAAGACCAGGTAGGGGCTCTGATCTACTGGTCTAATGAAAGGTTCCCTGCCTGCAGCAGTGGGGGTTGCAAAGAGATGATCTTTAAGGTCCCTTCCAAACAAAACTATTAGATGACTACATCCATACACAACATATTCCATAAATTTTCTGTCCTAATCAATTAAGAATGCAAATTGCAGAAAAGGCACAGAGGAAAAGTTCTGTAAAACACTTTGTGGCCTCAAACTGCTGGCTTAAGTAGTCATTCTCTTTTTGAAAAATCCAAGAGAATTCTAAATAGGGTGGCTATAAAGAGCATGAAGGTTCTTCACAAGAAGCAGCATGCAGAAGGCAAATAGAAATGGATAGGAGTGCACAGGGAGACATTTCATCTTGATTAAGAAAGAAATTTTTTTTTACTGAAAACAACCTCCTCAGTTATTCGGTAGAGTCCCTATCTCTGAAGGTTTTCAAAACAGTGCGCTAGATAATCTTGTCTAGGTTCCCTTTTCAAAAAAATGGGATGGACCAGATGGTCCTTCATGGTCCCTTCCAACAGTTCTATGATTTTTTTCTAAAAATATGTTTTAAAATAAAGGTAGAAGGAGAGAAAGCCAAAAAAAAAAAAAAAAAAAAGAAAAAAAGCAAACCAAAAAACCGTCTCCCTCAGAGACATTTTCTTTTTTTCAGTAGTATTTCCCAATGCTTTTTTTCATAGTTTCCTCTAATTTAATGTCTTCCTCACAATTAAAGGGATTTGAGCAGGTCATTATTTTTTTTAGATAAATATAAAATTAGATTCTAAAAGATTTCTTCATAGTATATGCTTTATATCTATACTTTTAAGTAATTGTTTGGCTTCCTCACTGTGAATTGTCTCTGCACCTTTTTGATTTCTCACATTAATTTTTAAGCTACTTTTATGAGTGTTCAGTCTGCATGATTTTGTAGAAGGACCTTGTATTTGGTATTTTAGGCTGTAACCTTTTTCCATCTACATAATTTTAATGGTTGGTGGTTGTGATTTCAATGAATTCTTCATTATGTCAAACACAGGAAAAAAATGAGGTCAAGATTACCTGGATGGCAGGTGTAGGAATATAGCAGAGCAGATCCATTGACCTGTGTGGTTTGGTTGTTTTTTTTTTCCCCCCAACTCTTGAGTCAAATGCAGAGGCATTTTATACGTATACGGTTCTAGTATTAGGCAGCACAGGGAGAATTCTCTAATATCTCACACTAATATCTCCTATTTGCCAGCAAGACTTCTTTATTGCAGTTATTACATATATTACAGCTGTTAATCATATTAACTTGAAATTTACTTATGTAGCAATGCCTTATAAGACAAGAACTTCAATATATCATTTCCCATTTTAACACACTATTAGAAAATGCACTCTTGGGGGCTGGACTTGGTGTTGAATAACAGCCTGCAGATCTATAATAACTTCAGGAGAGAATTTATTAACCTCAAAAGTATTGTAATTGTAAGATAAGACATAGCATAAACTGTTAGATATATATCTTTGTGTAAATACAACTAAGCCCAAACATCCGGTGATAGATAAGGAAATTTAGATTTCAGGTTTTAAGCAAGCACTATTTGCTTATTTTCTTCATGCAAGCTGCTCTGGCAATCATTTAGAATGGTGAAATATCTTTGAAACTTCAAATATTTTATAGAGATTTCCTTGGTTTTAAAGCCTGAAGGCTTTTAAATCATCTGATCTGCCCTCCAGTATGACACAGGTCATTTCACTTTATTCACATAATTTTTTAGTGAATAAAATGTCTGCATTTCAGTCTTCAGAAATGAGCTGTATGCCATATGAAGGAAATAAGAGAAATAGGAATTTGAATTCAGAATTATTTTGAAAAATTAGAAAAAAATATTGAAAAATGATAAAATGAATATTCAGTTAAGTCAACTATGCCTTTTCTATTTTGGTGAGACTAAATAACTATAGAAAGTTGAGATATAGATAAACCGATTTTATGAAAAATACATATAAATTACCTGGAAGTAAAAGATAGTGGCAAAACTGGTCTAAAATCTATAGTAGTACTGTTATTCATAGAAAAACTACATGAGAAACCACGTGGGGTAAGTAAACAAGAAAGTCTTTATTCGCTGCATTTATGGTTTCATTTGGAGAACTACACTTGCTTTTGAAGACTTTGAAAGAATTCTGCACTTGTGGCTCTGTATCTTGGTATTGCCATTGCTTGTAACAGGCCACAGGCTTCCTCCTGACTGTGGAGGTCCCAGGACAGAAATTGTTGGCCTTGTTCTGCATAGATGTGTCTAGACCAGCCTGGCCCAGCCCTTTGTGCTCATCTGACTTACAAAAAAAGCACTTCTCTAACAATCAGACTGTTGCCTGGGTGGTTTTATCTACAGCATAGCAGCATTTTGCAGTGAAATATCTTTAATATCTTTCAATTTTATATATATATATATATTTGTTTTACTAGAACTTCGCGGTAACATGTAGTTGTCTTGTGTGGAATCAACTATGTATGTCCCTATATTATAACTAAAATAGAAAGGTGAAGCCTTAGGATTCAAGGCATTTTTTGCATTCTAAATTTTATTTTAAACAAAAAATGCACAGCATATGTATGAAGCTAAGAAGCAATTTTAATCCTGATATTTAATTATTCTAATGAAAAAAGTCATGTTAATAACCAAGTTAAAACTGTTGCACAATTACTTCCTTCCAGTGCTCTTTTGGATCCTAAGGATGGCAGGTTTGGTATTTGTTGAGAAGGCTTGCATATTCAGAAACTTTTACAGGTCATCATACAATGAAAGCAGCATGCATACCATGTGTTCTGTTACATGTAAAAAAAACTCTCTGATAATCAAGCAACGGAATCCTCTTTTACATCAGATTCTGGTCCAAAAAAAAAAAAAAATCACAGAAATAATTAATTCACAACATATGGCCCAGCAGCAAGCTAAATTCAACTTTTTAAAAATAAGCAAGTCCACACTGTGAATTGATCCTCTGTGGATCTGTTGAGATTTCTTTTATCTCTTTTCTGTATTTCAGTGTTTTTCCAAGACAACAAATTCTCAAGGAATTCATTAAATGAACTCAGCATTTTTTGATTTTGTTTTTTTTTCCCCCCTTCCCCTTACATTAGATAATGCACGTTTTGTACTGGGAAAAAAATAAAAACGAAAAATCATTGTACTAACCCACTTTTCCTGGGTCTAAGAGATTGTGCCAAAATGTTATAATCCCTTTGGTCCCCAATCATATATGTTGTGAATATGACAAATTATGAAAAAGCTAAGGGCAATGTACACAGGCCTGTGGAGCAGGGATAAAAAGAACATTTATAAAATTATATAATCCAAGGGCAGAAGAAGTCTGCTAGTATCAAATCTGGGCAGTCCCTACCAGAAAACAGGGGGTTAGAATATTTTTATTGATTTTTTGCTCAAACTTTATTTCTGATTCTTCTTTGATAGCTACAAATCACTTATTTTATCAAAGATAAACATCTGCCTAAACAGCCTATGGTTCCCCGGGCCTTTTCTGCATTGTAATTGAAATATTGCTACTGTTTTTAGTCCTTTGAGACTTTAAAAAGTCTCCAGTTTCCTTCTGGTTTATTAAAAAATAAAATTAGCTGTTTGGAGATAATTCAACTATTCAGATCATCATAAGAAATTTATAGTTCAGATGGTAAAACCAATTGTGTTACTATCACAGTAATTTGCTACTTCCCTTGAGAGTCTTGGGCATGAGTTGCCTAGATCTGTCAATTTCTCTATCTATGCTTAGTTAATTTTAGCACATGCTGTTTCATATGTTCTGTTAATACAGATGGTGAAATTTTGATTTCATGTAAGGGGGCAAAATTTAGTTTCTTCTTTTATTTTTACTCTTTTTTTTTTTTTTCTTTCTTTAGATGAGAACTGAAACAGGTGAAGGGAAATTTTCAGGTAAGTTTATATCCCAGAAAATATAGATACCAATTGTCACAGCTGAAGTGTTTTTATTCCTAGTAAAACTGGAAGAAGTGTTTAAGTGTTGGTTTGGGGCTTTTTGTTTGTTTGTTTTTGTGTTTGGGTTTTTTGTTTTTGGGGTTTTTTGGACTTTTTGTTCATTGTTTGGTTTGAGGTTTGTTTGGGTTTTTGTGTTTTTGTTGTTTTGGGTTTATTTTTGTTTGATGTTTCTGGCAGATGATGTATCTGTTATTACCATAACTCATTGGTATACAACAGAGTCAAAGATAGGGTTTCATGAACTGATTTACAGTTTTGGAATCTTCTGATAGTTATATCCAATGAAATTGAAAACAAACACAAAGAAAAGTAATTTCAGCAACACTTTGATATTTGGATTAAACATCCTACTGACTAAAAAAATACAAAAATCTGACCAATGGAAATCTTGATGATTCCTTTGCTTTTATTCCACCTTCTCTTGAATTAATGTAGTATTAAGCCTGATATAAAATTTGATTACCTTTATCTGCCACTAACACATACTAAAAATCAACTTGAGCAGACTCCTCCTGCAATGCTTAGTTTACTGACCTCCCAGTCTGTGCAATCGTCCCTTAGGCAATGCCACCACCTCTGCCTGCCCAAGGCTCATAGAAAGGCACCAAACACTCCATGCTCTCTGCTGGATGGATGTGTCCTCCTTGCAGAAGTTAATGAGAGTTCAAGAGGTGTCTGATGTGCTGGGGTAGCTGCTTCCGCTTCTGCTGGGATCCATGCCCTGTGGCACATCACAGCCAGCATTGAGCCTTCCCATATTCAAGAGAGTTTTTGGAAACCTTCCATCTCAACTGCTGCACAAATTGCTGCCTCTGTTTGCTGTGCTCCCAGCTGGCTATGCTTTCCCTGGTGCCAGCTGAAGAGGTACTTGACAATTCCCAACTCTAAATTAAGGATTTTAATATGGCTGAAGATAGCAGATGTAAGCACCTTTTCAGTAGGATTAGCTCCCAGGGGCTGTTAGAAACTGCTAGAGCTTCTAGGAATAAACATGTCTCTTAGCTACTTGTGTGAGCAGCAGCAGCAGCACCCTTTGGGAAGGAGAGCCCAAAAATCACTTTATCAGCTTCTGCATCCCTTAGCTGCTTCCCTTTGCACTGACCTTCACTGAAGTGCCCTAGTCTACTCACTGAGTCCATCTCTGTTTCAGAATCTTCCATCTTTATGCCTGTTGGATGCTGTTGAAGAGTGGGATAGATGTATCAAATATTAACACAAGATATGTGCCTGCTCCACGTCTGCTCTTTGCTTCCACTTGGCACTTCAGCTCATGTGCATCGTGCTGCAGTTTGTGCCAATACTTGTCTTGTACCAATGAAGTGTAGTCAATGTAGTTCAAAAAGCTCATTGTTGCTAATGGAATCAAAGCATCCAAAACCATTCTGACAAGAATTCTGACATATATGGGAAAAATACATGCAAGCTCTGAGATCAGCAAGGAGAGGTTTATATAACTTGTTTGTAGTGTGGTGACACCTTTGTTCGCTACAATCATCAAAATGAACAATGATTTATTTATAATTAATTTATTATAGTTTAAAGGTTTAAGTGAAAAATACCATATGAAATACACATTTTTTTTTTCCTTTTAATAACTCAGGACAAAGAGAATACTATTCCAGGAACTATTTTCTTTCCATTTTTACTTTACATTACAAACTATCTTTTGTTTTCTAAAATATAAGAATTAGGATGATGATGATGATGAAAAAAAATATTGTGTTTATCTAAACAGGGCAAGGTTTCTGAAGGAAAAAATTAGCAAAAAGCTTTAACTTTGTTTAAAACTCTCTAAACTTCACATAAACATCATACCTTTGAATAAGACTTGTCAGTTTCAAAGCACTACAGAATTTGACAATTGCTGTTATTTCAACTCACAATGTCATGATGTACCAGAGACATTTCATATGTAGAGATAAAAATTTAATTGATAATACTCTTTCTTCTTGATTTATTTTTTTCAGAGAAAAGAAACCAGTTTGTGTGTCAGGAGTTTCCTTACAAATTAAAGCTTTCTTGTATAGATACACGTTGTATGTTCAGGTGGAGAGAAATAAAAACCAAAAAACCACAAAACTTGTCTCTTTGAAGGTCTGAGAAGTTTTTAGTGGGATGGAGTAGATTTGGAGAATTACTAGATTTTATCGGTGCATAGAAGTAAGCACCATGCTTTCAAGAAAATTTATTTCTTCACTTTTAAAGGAATACGTTGCTCGAAGGGCACAGATCAAGTGGCGATATTCCAAGCTACTAATTTTCAGAATGATGAACATTGACATTTATTCAGGGAAATCAGCTGCTCACAATTTACCTAAAAGCAACCTTATTCCTTGATATATTTTTTTAGGCTTAGTTTCCTCACTCATGTATTGGTGAAATGGCAGATTTTTCTTCAGAGTTATAGGAAACAAAGTAATGACCCATTTTTGCGAAGATTAGCAGTTTTTTAAAACAAAAGTTTTGCAAGATTTTACTTTGAAATAACCACATTATAACACAATTTATATATTTTAACTTGTATTTTAAAATTAGAAATGCATTCTTTGAGTACCCTACCTAGTCAAGAAAAGTACTTCAGGTTAATCTTGAACTCTGCCAAACTGGTTCTGTGACCACTTTCCTGGGGAGCCCAGTTTAGTGCCCAGGAACCCTTTTGGTGGAGAATCTTTTTCTAATATGCAGATTAAACCTCCTCTGACACAGCTTCAGGCCATTCCCTCAAGTCCTGTCATTGGTCGGCGCAGAGAAGAGATCAGTGCCTGCCCCAGGTTGTAACTGCAATGAGGTCTCCCCTCAGTCTTCTCTTCTCCAGGCTGAACAGACCAAGTGACCTTTGCTGCTCCTCACAAGGCTTCCCCTCGAGGCCCTGCACCATCTTTGTGCCCACCTTTGGGTGTTCTCTAACAGCTAAATGTCTTTCTTATGTTGTAGTGAATTTGAAGGAAAATATATTCAATAACTCAACACAAATAAAAGTTTCTAAGTGATTTTGGAAATGTATGGGAGGGAGGAAATCAATGGTCCTTCATTTTTGACACCAGATGAGTATCTAGTTCTTATGTATTGACCTCCACAGTCTGAAAAGTTTCACTTTGTTTTAAAAAAATATACACGCATTATTATGGAGATAGCTTATTATTGTTGTATAACTTCCTCTGAAAACATCCAAAGCACTTTTCTATCATTCAAATGCCCAATTTAAAGCTTATTTGAACCCATGTACATCTAAAATGTACAAGCAGACACACATGCATGAATATTCTCTGTTATAAGAAAATATTTTCTTTGCCATGTTAAGAAGAGATGAATCATTTTCCCTCATTTCCTAAATAGTATTCTAATGAATTTCATCTTCCCCATGAATAGTAGTATAGGAGACTGGTATAGGAGACCTGCTAAGCTCTTAGTTAATCACATAAATATAATACTCCTAAGGAAGATGAACACCAAGAATGGGTGATTAAGCATTGAAAGATTGAAATAATTTTCTTTTGGAAGGACTTGTGGGGATTTCTGTTTTCCTGCCTTTTTTCCCCTATTAAAGATGTTTATTACTTCACAGGACGAATAAAATTATTTCTTGTAGAAAGAAAAGCACTACAAGAAGAAGTTTGAATCCCTATGTTCTTGACTTTCTAAATAGTTCTTTTGAATTTTTCATGTGCTGTGATTTCTTCTGCAATTATAATAACATTAAAAAAGCTATTTTGTATGAATTACAAGCAGATTCCTTTTCAAACACCAGGAAATGCAAGGTATTTTAATGTGTAAACAAGTGTCTGAAACACACTGAATGATTTTCCAACTGTATCTAACAAGGTTTTCATAGTGATAATCTTCCTGGTGACTTTTTCTTTTTGTAAAAATATTTTTTCAGCAAGGACTAACATTATAATAAGCATTTGAAAAAGCTATTATGAGTATGGTTAGCTATACTGATATTACTTATATATTAAAAGAACAACATTAAATTACTTCAAGCATTCAAATAAAGAAATGCTTTAAACTCTGTAAACCTTTCTAACATTTTATTTATGTAGGGTCCATTCTACTGACATCTTAATCCCCCTGTTTTCCAACGTGGCATAATTTTGTAAACGCTGATGTTCATACATCAGTAAACACATGTTCACACAGCTGTCATCCATGGGCAGGCATTCCAGTTCTCCCGCTGCTTGCAAAAGACCTCGTTTGAAGAGGATGACTTAATCACCAGGCAGTGATGTATTCTGATTGTCTTTGCCCATCACCTTTTTCTTTGAAGCAGAGCCACTGAACACACAAGTAGGAGTCTTCATGTTAAATCACAGAAAAAAAGACCTTGATTCTCATCTAGTGATTAGGGCACTTGAAATTGAAGCTCATTCATTTAAAGCAGGTGTCCAAGTGACACTTATCTCCCACTGTCGGTGGCTATTTTTAACAGAGATTCATTTACCCAAGGACATTTTGTTCCTCCATTCACATAATGGAAAATGTTACAAATGTCAGGCATCCACTCAGAATGGTTCAGCTTCATGGTAGTCTCATGATATTGAAAGGTCAAAACATTAAAAATACTGGCATGCATGTCTCCCTTGGCTCTTTATGGAGGTTTTCCTTTCATTGCAAATGTAGCTATTCCATCTACAAAATTCCGTAGAAGTTACTAATTTTTCCTAAAGAGCAAGACTGACACATATGACCCATAAGGACACCCTGCATTAGAAAAGGCAACAATCCCTACCAGTGACTGCTGGAACACAAGCTTATATTTCTAGGACAGCAAACAGAGGTCATTGCTATGGTCTCCAGTATCAACAGCATCAGATGAAGAAGTTGATCATAAGCTGAAAAGGCAACTGTAAAATATCCCATACTTCCACACTCCTTGAAATGCACTCAGTCCTCCCCACTTCCTTGAGAGTACAGAAGTTTCTTGAATTGGTTGTCTGAACATTACTTTCTTTGTTATAGATACTTGACAGTGTGACTGCATGCCACAGATACATAACCTGGGTTCATTGGTCTGGTAAGCGTCTAGCATCTAAGAACTTCTGGTTAAGATACTTTTGTGGAATGAAAGCAGCAACTTGGATAGGCTACCTACAAGATAACTCACAGCATTCACACTGTATCAGGCAAAAACCAAAGAATTTAAGCAAGCACATGGCTACATATATTTTTCTGTAGACCCAGGCCAAAATTACAGAGTATTAGGCTAGGGAAGGAAGCAAGTAACAGGAATGAGTCCTAATGTAAATGCATCACATTTTCTGTAGGAAATGTGAGAGATGCAAAACAGTTTGGTTGACTGAGCTTTCAAGAGTGGAAAATTTACCAAAATGGCAATCATAGGAAAGTGGCATGGGGATATCTACTACTAGCTATTACATGGGGATATTACCTTCCATGCTGGAAAAACAAAAGAGGATAGAATCATAGAATACCTTGTGTTAGAAGGGACCGCTAAGTATCATCAAAGTCCAACTCCTGGCCCTGCACAAGACAATCCCCAAGAGTTACAGCATGTCCCTGAGAGCATTTCCCAAAAGCTTAATGAACACTATCAAGGCTGGTGCTGTGATCACTTGCCTGGAGAGCCTGTTCCAGGGCTCAAACACCCTCTGGGAGAAGAATCTTTTTCTAAAATCCAACCTAAACCACTGCTGACACAGTTTGACTCCATTCCCTTTGGTCAAATCACTGCCCACCACAGACAAGAGATCAGTGTCTGCCCCTCTTCTTCCCCTCAGGAGGAAGTTGTAGCAGCAATGAGGTCTCCACTCAGTCTTTTCTTCTCCAGGCTGAGCAAAAAAAGTGACCAGTAGTAGCAAAAGGCATATATGGAGCAGCCTCAATATAGAAAGAGCTGTTTGTGTGTCCCTACCAACCCTAAGACAGCATACTTTATCCACAGTTCATAATGTTTGCTACAGTATCTTCAATGATGCCCCACATCTTCTTAAGGTTCTAGCATTTTTAAACTTCTTTCTTCAGTTTGGGATGCTGCAAGAACTGTGATGGAGTCCCAAAAGCCTGGCAGCTTTGTTTTTGTATTCTTCTACATGTTTCTTAATTATGTAACTCTAATGACTTCCAATCTACGTCACCTTCTGCCCACTCAGCTAACCCCCTTATTAGCCTAGATTTAGGTGCTCTCAGACACTACACTTACATCCCCTTAAGCTGCCCTTCCCATCCATAGCTATTTCCCTCCACTGCCGGTATTTTTCCAAGTCTTAAATACAATATACCTGCGAGGATTGACTGACACCGATTCCATTTATGCCATCAAAGCCAATCCAGTTTATCAGACAGTTTACCAGTATTTACAGGTCACTACATTCATAAAAAAATTTTCCACTCGGACCTCTTTGTCCCGGTCCCCTTTAGAAATACAGCCTTCTGATTATTCTTCTCATACTAGTAATGTCCTTTTAGTTTTCTCTTTTGCCAGCAAAATCCTTGTTGCACCTTCCTTCGCCAAAGTGGTCAGCATCAGAGGGTCAGAGTGACCAGACATGATATATTCGCTTCTGTTCTTGCCTTGAGTTTATCTCTTCCTTGGCTTTTACTGTACCAGGGCCAAAAGGAACTGCTACCCAGTTCAGCTTCAGTAGATGTCTGATCTCTGACATCTACCTCCAGTCTCTACATTTACATTTGCTTCACATTTATCTAGTTGGTGGTGCTCCCACAGACCACAGACCTTGCCATCTCTTTCCATCTATTCCTGGTGGGCACTATATAAGTGCCCACTCCAGACTTGTTGATTTTTTTTTTTTTTATTTTACACTAAGAAAGAATGAAAAGGAGGATTTTCACTTCACAGCTTGCTCAAGGAGCAGTGCTCTCATTAGGGGAAAGGAAACTTTGATTCTGTGCTGATAAAAAGCCCTGATATTTTAGATAATGAATTTGGAATTTAAAAGAATTTAAAAAAAAGAAAAAAAAAAAAAGGAAATCCCTTTCCTTTGTTTTCTTGACTAATATCCCTACTATCATATTACTGAAAGATAGTCTTCTCTTTGTTACTGCTACACACTAGCACATTTTAAAAAGGTCATGGTGTGTTGCCTACAGGTTAGCTGAA